GATAAGTCTAATTGCTATTGCAATCTATCTATCTATCTATCTATCTATCTATCTATCTATCTATCTATCTCTGTCTATCTGTCTGCCTATCTATCTATCTATCTCTGTCTATCTGTCTGTCTATCTATCTATCTATCTATCTAATCAACTATCTATGTATCTATCTATCTACAGTATCTATCATCTATCTATCTATCTATCTATCTATCTATCTATCTATCTATCGGATTGTTGGGGGCGATACGCTGACTCTGTAAAACCGCTTAGAGAGGGCTGAAAGCCCTATGAAGCGGTACATAAGTCTAACTGCTATTGCTATTGGGAGCTATCAAATGGGTGGACTTCAACACCCAGAATTCCCCAGCCAGCATAGCGACCTGAAGATGTTGAAATTGAAATTTAATAAATTTGTATGCTGCCCAATCCCTAAGGACTCTGGGCGGCTTACAGAGATAAGATTAAAAAAAAGTTAAAAATCAAGAATGTTTATGGACTTCCAACAGCCAAATCCCCCAGCTGGCTGGGGAATTCTGGGAGCTGAAGTCCACCCGTCTGAAAACTCCCAGGACTGACAAAGACTGATTGAAAGAGATGCCACAAATAACCAAACAGCCTTTGACATCACCGGAAGGCCAAAAAAAAACCCCCAATGGAAAGAAAAACCAGCAGCCAGACCACTGAGGAGGAGGGCCGACTCCACTCCTGTCTCCACCAGGGAGAAGCCGAGCTGGAAACGCCGCTCCCTCCTGAGCCTTCCCTGCAGAGCCCCCCCCCCCCCTTGACGGCCGGTTGCCGTCCCTGCTTGCAAAGCCAGGCGGAAAAAAGGCCTCACCTGTCGCTGAAGACGACTCCCTCGGCTTCGGGCGGCGCTATCGAGAGCTGGAACGGAGTATTGAAATAGTGCTGCTGCTCGTCGGAGCGGTGCACCACCCGGCCCCCACGGACCACCAAGAAGCCCGAGTCGCCGAGGTTGGCCGTGTGCAGGCGCCGAGTAGTCCGATCCAGGACAACAATGCAGGCCGTGCTGCTCCCTAGGAAGGAAGGGAGGGAGGGAGGAAGGAGAGTCAACCATTCGCCTGGCGGGAAGCGTCGGTCTGGCTGCTTTCACTGGCTCACAGGCTCACTTAGTTATCGTCTGAAATGCTGGTGTGTGTTTGTGTGTGTGTTTTGTGCATGCATGTATGGGGAGGGGGGCACATTGCATTGCGTAAGTGGGCACACACACACGGCCGCAATAGGGCGCACAGGAGAAGAGAAAGGTTACTGGAATAGGGCTTCCTGCCTAAACAGGGAGGGGGGGTTGGGCTAGAAGACCTCCAGAGTCCCTTTCCAACCCTCTCCTCCTATTCCATGCCCAACGTGCGTCCCCTCCAAGGGCGGCCTCGGTGGTCCTCGTGGAGGGGGAGGCGGGGCAGCTCTGAGCAGGCTTCCCCCCTGACCTTCATTGGCTGGGGGCCGTTTCAAGGCAGGCCTGGGCCCCCAGACCGAGAGGGCGGCCCCCCTGGAGGATGAGTGCTTGGAGGGACCCAAGGCCCCTTCCTCAGGCTGTCTCAGAAGTGTCCCAGCAAGAGCAATGCCACCTCCTGGGGTCAGCTGAGGGCACTTAAAAATAACCCCCGTTAAGAGAGAGAGAGAGGCAGGGAGGGATTTCTTGGCAGAGAAGCCTGGGATCAGGTGAGGAGCAGCAAGTGGAGCCATCACTGGGCAAAAGGTCACCCGATTCCCTCGGCCAGGCGGGTCCTGGGTACCCAGGGCGAAAGGGGAAGCAGAGGAACCAGGTGTCCAGCCCTGAAGCCCTTGTGGAGCATCTCCAGGGCTGCCACAGTCACGCCGGTTGGGGCGATGGGAACGGGAGGGGGGAATAGAGATACCGTGTTTCCCCCAAAAGAAGACAGGCTCTTATTTTCTCTTTACCTTCGAAATAAGCACCTGGCCTTGTTTTCGGGGAGGTCTTATTATTTTTGAGGTGCAGAAGGTGGCAAGCGTGGTCACCTCGTGGCTGCTGCTGGGTTGCAATATTTTGGGGGGAGGGATTATTTTAGCCCATGCGCTCAAAAGCCTCGATTGGGCGTATTATCCGGGGAGGTCGTATTTCCAGGGGGAACAGGATAGCTGGGAAACTCGTAGCCGAAATAAAATTCTTTCTCCTGGGAAGCAAAGGACGGTCTGGTGCTGGGGAGGCATGGACTCGAACCAACTGGGGTCGTGGCTGCGACCGGATTGGGGCGTGTGACGGACATCTGGACTGGGGGGGGGGGAAGAACTTTGACTTTTGATTCGGGTGGGGACCTTCAGAGTCGGGTTTTCACCAGATGTGCCAATATGACATGGCCGATAAACAAACTCCTAGGCCTCAGGGGGGCTGATTGTGTTGGGTCTGTTACTTGGACCCTTGGTTCCACCACAAAACCGCGGTCGACTAAAGCGCGCTCAACG